TATATCATATATATATATATATATATATATATATATATATATATATATGAACTTTATTTCAATCCTTTAAAGGTCTATTTTAAAAGGAAATGATATATTAATGATGAACATGTAATTTTCGCTTATAATCGAATTCTTCCGCCTTGATCGTAGTGACATGTCAGATTGCAACAGACGCCTCTTTGTCTCAGCCCATAACGAATGCAAGCGTGTCCTCAACGAAGCAAAGTCACTATTTGCTGATAGAATGAAACAACGTATTGCATCTCGCAAATTCGGCTCCAAAGATTATTGGCGTCTCTCCAAGAGCGTACTTAACAACAGCAAACTTTCAATACCTGCTTTGTTCAACCAATTTGAGACCCTGACCTCCTCAGCTAATAAATCTGAGTGCTTTGCTCGTAAATTCCCTTCCAACTCAACGCTCGACTCATCCGGTGTACCCACACCCGATTTCCCTCCTAGAACCGAGGATCTATTGAGCGAGTTGCACATGACCCCATCGTTGGTATTGGACATCATCTCATAAGGCTAGTGGTGGCGACGGGAGACCAGCCATTGTCCTGAAGAAACGTACTCCTGAACTGGTCCTTTCCCTCTCCAAATTATATAACGACTGCCTCAATGAATCTTGCTTTCCAGCGTGTTGGAGGTCCACATCTATTGTACCTGTCTTTAAGAACTCTGGAGACCCTTCTGACCCATCTAATTACCGTCCTATGAGTCTCCTACCACTCTTCGGCAAATTCTTTGAAGCTTTAATCAACACCGAAGTGGTTAATCACTTTATATCCCATGATCTGCTCTCTGATAAGCAATATGGTTTTCGCTTTGCCCGTTCTACAGTTGATTTGTTCACGGCCATAACTGAAATTATATACCAAGCACTCCACAATAACGGAGAAGCTCGTGCTGTGGCCCTAGATATCTCTAAAGCGTTTCATAGGGTCTGGCATACCGGCCTCCTTCGTAAGATTAAGAGATACCGAATTTCAGGTTGATTACTTGATATAATATGATCATTCTTGTCAAACCGTATAATGAAGGCCGTCCTTAATGGATTCTAATCCTGTTCCTTTCCCACGAACGCAGGTGTTCCCCCAGGCTCTATCCTAGGGCCAACTCTGTTCCTTATCTTCATTAGCGATCTCCCCGATGTCATCAATTCCAACACAACTATTTACTCCTGCCTCAATAGCAAGTCTTGTATCGCTGACAAAACTAACCTGACCGTTAGTCTCGAAAAGAACCTCCAATTGGTTGTTGATTGTAGTAGAAATTGGCTGGTTAACTTTAATGCCTCTAAAACAAAATTGCTCTCTATTGCTCACCACAGGGAACCATCCCTGCCACCCATTAGAATGTCTGACGCTCAACTCCACGAGAGCACCTCTTTACGACTGCTTGGTCTCAAACTTGTCCACTGACGTGAGATGGAATAATTACATTGAATGAATAGCCTCATCGACCGCAAGGAAAGTTGTTTCCCTATATCGTGCCAAATTTTTTTTTCTCGCCCGAGTCCATCCTTCAAATTTATGAATCAACAATTCGCCCTTGCATGGAATGCTGCAGCCACATGTAGTCTGGTTCCCCTGCTGTTCGCCTTAAGGTCCTCGACAAGATCCAGAGACGGACATGAAATATGGTTGGTCCTGATCTGGCACCTCGTTTACAGTCGCTCTCTCACAGACAGGCCTTCGCCTCCCTCTACCTTTTCTACAAATATTTTCACGGTAACTGCTCCGACGAGCTACTTTCGCTAGTTCCCACACTGCATGAGTTTAAGCGTGCTACTAGGCTGGCATCACGGTCCCACCCTTTCACTGTAGAAACAGTTAAATGTAACTGTCTCTTCTACTCCAATAGCTTCATGTCTCGCACCTCCCGTCTGTGGAATTCCATTCCTATTACTTTTTTCCCTAATAGCTATAATCTCCAACTGTTCAAATGTAATGTCAATCGACATCTCCAGATGTCCTGACCTATTGGCTGTCCTTCTCTTCATCCTTTCCTCAATCACGCCTCTTTAGTCTTGCTGTCATTCTGTGACCCCTTGCGTACTAGTGGCATCCAGCCTTGCTTGCAGTGAAATGCTTAAAATAAATCGGCAGGATTCTTCCGTTAAGCTTGGAGAGTATTTATAAAGTCTTATTGGTCAACGTAAAGTCGAATAGTGTTATAAAAACCTCTGAGAATTCCAGTAAGATATCTTTAATCATTTCTAAGATACAACGGTTCGGAGCTGAATTTAACAAATTTGACAATTTTATGTTAAACGATTTGGAAACTTTTATAGTTACTTGGACCCTTTATATATATATATATATATATATATATATATATATATATATATATATATATATATTGAATCTTCAATCAGTCGCAAATATTCGTAAGACGTTTGGTATGTGACAGGGGATTTTCAGCTATGAGGGTCCAAAGAGTAGTGAAAAAAATTGAAAATGAAATCGCACGTGAAACCTGTGAAGAAACTTGTTAAACTAGCACAGAAAGTTAGAAGGTTAGGGATATATGTATATATCTTTGAACTTTATTTCAATCCTTCACGAGGTTCCGATCTTTTAAGCTTCGAGAGTATTTATGCATTCTTATTGCTCAAAGTAGAATGCTATAAAAAAATATAATTCTCTCGGGGCGACAGTAAGATATCTTTAATCATTTCTAATATACAACGGTTCAGATCTTAATTTTTTTTAATTTGATAATTTTGGTGTCACACCCAGTATATATATATATATATATATATATATATATATATATATATATATATATATATATATATATTGAATCTTCAATCAGCCGCAAATATTGTATTATTCAATCTTATGAAATTAAAGTTTGTTCTTCAAATTTTTTTAGGTTTACATCTTGTAATGTAATTTATAATATTTTATTGATTAAATTCTCGATTAAATTATTGATTAATTCAAAAAACGTAGCAACTTATTGGTATTAAATATTTACAAGGGTTTGACATTTTCCATCGCAGGTTGACTTGCTCTCCACGCTTTACTAAGGTGAATATTCTCCACAGCATCCACTTTTGTTTCTTTTTAATTTCCGTTTTTTTAATCCTCCTATTGATCATACCAGACAGTTAAGAATAAATTTAGTGTACTCTTCATGCGCCGTGTCTCTTCAGGACGTGCACAATCATGGCTCTCCACCACTTCCTGTCCTTTGTAATTCTTGGTAAAGTTTAAGCCTCTACTCGCATGTGACATACATTACTCGCTGTTTCTATCTACCTCACTTTGCTGTCAATATGTGCCTGAGTGTCAAATTCTCCAAGCTTTCTTTCCTCATTATATGTTCTACAAATTTCATCTGTCTCTTCTTGATTCTAAATATAAGGGCCCTCTCTTTTCATGAAAACGTCCTCATTGATGACATGTTTAGTCCGTGGGATTCTCAGTATCCTTCTGTAGAACCACATTTTTGTTGCCTTAAATCTCATCTTCATCTGTGATGAAATTGACCAGCATTCACTGCCATATAAGGAGGACTGATATTACAAAACAGCTCAGTTGTCTGTTCTTTGTTTCTAATGAATTTTTTTCATAAATAACAGCATGGCCCGGCGTTGCCCGTGCTTGATTCAAAAATCGTACAGCAATCGCTATCACTTGACCTAAAATATTTTTGCCCTTCCTTGCCTTTAAATGAGTGCCCTTTGCCGTGCTGATGTTTACATGCCTTTTTTTTGCCTTCTTCTTGCGAATTTTTCTAAGCTCTATACTAAACATTAAATCTGTTAAAAAAAAAGAACTAAAAACAAAATGAACACAAAACGATCAGCTTTAAAAAAGGACTCGTAACTGGAAAAACCGAATGAAAAAGAATGTTAACAACAAATACTTTTTCACAACCAACCCAGTTCTGCGGAATCAGAATCAACGTTGACTTTAAGTAAGCGAATGAGCCAATTGGAGTAAAGTGCCATGCAAATTTAAATTTCCCCCACTTGTGACGAATGCAGCTATCGATTTTTTTTGCATGCTAGCATGCTAGTTAATATTCGTGTCAGTCAGCTGTTGGCTCTCACGCTGGCCAATAGAATCTTCCTGCCTATTCGTGGCAGCCCGCTATAGGCTCTCACTCTGGCCAGTAGAAAATGGCCGCAAACTACATGAAAAGTGCCGTAGAAGCATGACAAAATCGATTATTTCCACCATCGATGGGAGTTGGGAAATGCAAAGTCGATCTTGGCCTTCCCACTAACTTGGAGCATGTGCATGTAAATTTTGGTGTTATTCCATCGAAAATTGCGGCCGTGCATTCGTTACACACACACACAAACATCCTGCCTTTTATAGATAGAGATTTGCTTAGCTTTTGGAAGGCATCTTTAACTATTGAAATACGCATTACGATTTCGGTGTCAGAATTCTCATTCTCTGTTTAAACACTTTGCATTTAAATTTTCGTATTGTTTAGTTTTGGTATCTTTCATTCATAGTCCGCATCCTGTGTCTGACAACCGTAGATTCTATCTTTTTACAGTTGATAGTCCTTTCTTCTAACTTTCCTTTACTATCTTTTAAAGGATTTGCAGATTACGGCCACATCTTATTGAAATACCAGTTCCTGCATGTTATACACCCTACGTATGAACACTAATGGGTATGTCCCAATCTTCATAAATTCGTTGGACACTATTGTAAGTGGGAGCAATATGCTGCCTAAGGGGCTGATCTAATGTGGAATTTTGACGCCGGTTAGGCATCCGGATATTGTTCTTCCTGGGTTGAACTTGGACAACCCATCCCGAAATTAGGTTAGTGTAGGTTTTGTTTTTAAATCTTTAGTTTTTACTTTTTCCAGTTAACTTAGCTATGATGTGTTTCCTCATTGGCCCCTTTTGTTCACCCATCTAGTTACTGACCAGGCTCGATGTTCCTTAACTTTGGTGATCCTACGAAAATCGATGTTTCAACGTGATATTGCCGTAAGCCCATTACATAACCTGCTTCATGCTTACAGCTCCTTACGTTCCCAAGCTTTTACCCATCTAGATACTGACCAGGCTCCACGTTGCTTAACCACGGTGATCGGATGAAAACTGGTGTTTCAACTTGATATTGCCGTAAGCCCATTACATAAACTGCTTCATGTTTACAGCACATTAAGTTCCCAAGCGTTCACCCATCTAGTTACTGACCAGGTTCGGTGTTGCTTAACCTCGGTGATCGAACGAAAACTGCTGTTTAAACGGGAGCATACCATAAGCCCATTACATAAACTGCTTCTAGTTTATTGTACCTTGTGTTCCCAAGCGTTTACCCATCTAGATACTGACCAGGCTCCACATTGCTTAACCACGGTGATCAGATGAAAACTGGTGTTTCAACTTGATATTGCCGTAAGCCCATTACATAAACTGCTTCATGTTTACAGCACCTTACGTTCCCAAGCGTTCACCCATCTAGTTACTGACCAGGCTCGACATTGCTTAACTTAAATCAATCTCTAGGATTTATGGAAGTTTCCATTCTGTGTCTGCTAACAACACTGTATCACATGCATTTCTTGTGTTGACTAATAAAAAATTCTGTCAGGTCTTTAAAATTCGCTCAGGAAGTTCACGCTCTAAAGATTGATCAAGTCTGGTTAAAGGACGCCAACTTAAAAAAAAAAGAAAGCTTAAAGCTTTCCGTGTAGTTCAAATAGTTCTTTGTGTCGTAGCATATCAAACTCTTGTATAATCTATACAACATAGGCAAACATCCTTTTGTATTTGTATTGATCTTTCTGATATTCTTCGCAAAAATACCTCATTTACAGTGTGATTTTTTACGTGTTATCTAGTCCCCAATGGATATTAATGCAATGCGTAACAGAATTATCAACGACCCTCAGAAGAGGAAAAAAGGGGTTTTCTCATATTCTCCCTGGGCTTTTAACAGAGATATAATTAGAAAAAAGACTCCCAATTGTCTTCCTTACATTGAGAAACTTTGCCAAATCAAGTCAGGTCCTTCTATTACGTATTACTTTGAGAAAATCCAAATAAGCTGAAATCTTATAACCCCTGACCTGGCATCTCGGCTTCAGTCACTTTCCCACCGCCGTAACGTAAATTATCGGGCTTAATCCATTTCATTATATGTTGTAATTGTTTACGTTAAAATGTTTCTTGAACAGATTTGATCGATCTTGAAAATTCGTCGAAGATTGTGTGTATATAAACAGTAATTTGAACTTTGTGTTTACTCATTCCCCCACGAGAATGAGATGTGACACAAGGTCAGATTAATGTGGGGACCCGAGCGCGTACACTCTGGCAGGGACGAAAATTAACCTGAACCCCCGCAACCGTCGGTTGCGTTGGCCTCGGTGCGAGCACCAATCCCTCCCTCTTGTGCAATGGAAGGGCGCGGCCTCGGGCAGCTGTTCCCCAGGGCTGGGCACCTCTTCAGTATAATTTTCCTCAGTTGCCCCTCTGTCCTCAGACAGAGAAGCCCCTGAACGCATTCTGTCCAAGGACAGAGACGCAACTGAGAGATGATAAATAATGCGAAATCCCTCCAGTAATTTGAACTTTGCTAACCAGACGCTTCTCTGTAACTAAATGGTACAGCACATCAGATCAAATGATGGTTTCCGTGTAGGAATAGAGATTCGATTCCCATCGGAGAAACACATTTTCTACGAGATTTCAGGCCGGTAAATGTAATTAATACTGTTTAATTAAAGACAGCCTTTACTTAAATAAACTGTATCTATAAAAAAAATAACGTATAATCAGGAGATATATTAAATACATAGTTGTATAAATATATGAGTGCGTGTGCGCAGGCGTGTGTGCGCAGGCGTGTGCGCATGCTGAAAGTGACCGAGAATGAAAAATTTCGCAGATGTCGCATCAAGCACACTTCAAATCATCAAATTCTTTGACTTTCACAGAGTTCAAATGGAATTCGTTTATCGAAGTTCTTCACTTTACCAATTCTCTTGAGATGGCCCGATATTGTTAAAACGTTTACTTCTATTATCTGAGACCTTTCTCTGACACTTTGACGCTAGTTTTGTTCGACTTGTGTTTTCAGATGTTGATTGTCAATCGCCATCTACCTTGATCTCATGGCTCGTATCCCCACAAGGGAATATAAGAATCAAGCCCCATACTGTCCGTTTAACAGTGGGTCTTGAACCTCTGGTCTATTAATGTTGTCAGCAGCAAAAGAAGCATTACGGCCAAGCTTGAAAAACAAAAAAGTAAACGCTACTCTTCATTTTTCTTTTCATGTTCAAGATGAGGGGTATAGGTTTTATGGCGAATTCTGAATACCAGTTGAGTTAGTCACATTCACCTTGCACAAATACCGTAGAGAAAGGCATGAATGCTTCTCTTCTCCCCCAGCTATGAGTCAAATAGCAAGTCAGACTTGGCTCTTTAACCTTATTTGGCAACACGTCTTGGAGAAGGAAAAAGGATGGATGCTTGCAAACTTCGTGACACACTGCATCAGTCCTCTATTATCAAAAATGATAAAACAAAAGAAAAGAGAAAAAGCCTTAAAAATCAATTGATAGGAAGTCTATCTTTCCAATTTCTAGCAGAAAAATTAAGAAGAGAAGCACTCATGTTAACAGAAGAATTATCATAATATATATATATATATATATATATATATATATATATATATATATAGAGGAAAAAGAGAGAAAGTGTATGTAAATAGAAAAGTGAACATTGAAGAAAACACCCAGAGGCGAGAAGAAGAAACTTTCATATTCTTAACATTTATCTCAGATATTGATCACTTTATCCCATAAATATAAGACACCTTAAAACTATATATTATTCATATATATATATATAATATATATATATATATATATATATATATATATATATCAAACAAACAGCCAGACAAACACTTTCTGTTTTTGGTCGTCGGATCTTATAAGATAATTTTATCTATAGAAAACTTTTATCAAATGTATTTTTACATTTGTCCATATATATATATATATATATATATATATATATATATATATATATATATATAATTTCTACTTTGTATTGACCATTTTTAAATAAATGCTTGAACTGTGGATTTGTACACCATTTGTTCCTTCTCTCTATATATATATATATATATATATATATATATATATATATATATATATATATTAGGGTAGATAAATTAAGAAAAATGAATAATAAAGAACTAAAAAGTTTAAATATTAAGCACTAATGTTAAACAAGTACATTTTCTTGATGTTACGTCTAGTTAAGTAGAACGTAGTATTAGCAACAACTCCTCCTATAAAGATGGGTTTAATAAATATAGCGGTGTGTACATTAAAGTTTTAAAGAATAGTGGTTATAAGTGCGCTGAAATCAAGTTTGGAAAATATGATGATAGTGGTCTAAAGAAAAGAAATAGAAATAGGATGATCATTTGGTGCACACCCACATTTAATCGATTAATTAGTACTAAGTTAGGCCATAAGTTCCTGCAATTGATGAATATTTTCCTAAAAGTAACCCTCTTAGTAATTCTTAATTTTACAGAAACACATTAAAAGTAAGTTATAGCTGCACTAAAAATCTTTAGAAGATCATAAAGTTAAACGACATTAAATTTTTTTAAAAATTTAATAACCTGAATCATATTACAAGTTCCAATGAGATTACATTCAACGAAACTTGCCAGTGTAATTGTATGAATCCTGACCAATGCCCACTGCCAAACAAATGTTTAATTAAATCTCTTGTTTAACTTTGTTCTATCTTACAACAGAGGAGCCGATATTTGAAAAGTCCCTTACGAATAATATATCGCTTTCTAAATATTTTGGAGTTTGAAAGACGATAATAAAACTCCTAAGGTAAAATGAACCTTGTTTTCTGTGTTTACATGAAAAATTGCAAATTAACAGGGTTTTTTTTTTATAAGAATGCTTTATTAAACCAAAGATCCAAGTTAACGGTAAATTGTAAACACTGTCTACCTTTTAACTTAAAATTCATTTCGACTTGAAATTTGACAATGCTTTTTCTTAGATTTTGGTTTAACAGTGTTCCACAATATATGGTTTATCTTTATGTGGGCAGGATTAATTTGGATTTAGCATAATTTCATATTAATCTCCTGTTAGTGTTAGTAACATCTTGTATGGATGCATTGGTATTTGGTTGCTATTTTGACATTTTGCATTAATTGGTTATTGTTATTAAAACCTTATATAAATAAACTTTAGTCAAAAGTTGCATATTAATTTACCAAGTAAGTCTATACTTTAAATTATTTACTGGTTTCTTAAAGAAGCTATTTAATTTCAAATAAATCTGTTTTATGAAGGAAACTCACAAAGTATATAACTTGTCTAGCATTTTTTTAGATTACTACTTAATATTTTTCTAATGCCTAATATACAATATGTATCCATTTATATCCGCTTCAGTTTAACGTCTGTTGCCGCCATTGATTTCAAATCTACGGTCCATTTCTTATTTTTTGCTTCTTCCTTTAGTTTAAATTTAACGTAGTTCATATTCGATTGGTTGATCTGAGTAAAGCCCATAAATCTTACAACCACTCCCTTTTTAACATTTTTAAGAACATCAAAACGCGACTGCAACTGTGGAGCAATTTTGACATGTTTAAAAATGCAATATCCTGAAAGAATATATATATATATATATATATATATATATATATATATATATATACATATATATATATATATATATATAACTGATGGATCAAAACAAACATACAAGTTCATTTTTAATTCTGATCTTGTGTTTTCTCACCTCCTCCTTTTATCTTTCGAAAAAGAGGTAACACTCTGCTTTTCAAATTTTTTTGAAAATCCTTGAATCACCAGTCTATTACCATTGACTGAAGAGGCACAATGTACTGCGGAAACACGAAAGCTATTGTGTAGCGATTTCAAAATGTTTTTGTAATAATCTTTCATAATAAAAGTTATATATATATATATATATATACTCGTTTCGAAAAACCTTCGAATTTTTGATTTGCCAATAATCAAATCAATCTCGAGGGAAAAAAAAGGTTTTAAAAAAAGAAAGAGCTAGAAACATGAAAGTCTGTCGAAAAAAATCGCACAG